CTAAATTTTTATTGAAAAATATTTAATTATTACAAAGTTATTATTAAAAACTCAAATTGCTTTTTAATCAGTAAGGATGTAGTTATCGTCGCACGTATGGAATTTTGAAAATTTTAATTTAAAAAAAAATGGCGACTGATTGAAAATTTTCTCTCTATTCTTACTGTTTTTTTTTTTTTTATTTTAACCCGGCTAAAATAAAAATTTTTTGAATTCCGTACGTGCGACGATAACTACATCCTTACTGATTAAAAAGCAATTTGGGTTTTTATTTTCAAATGATCCGTTTTTGAGTTATCGAACCGACCATGGAGGGGGAAATTTTTTATAGTCCTCTACGAGATTGTTAATAACTATGTAATAATTAAATATTTTTTAATAAAAATTTAGCGTAATCATCTTTAATGTACCCTTAATAAAATAAAAAAAATCCGATCCCCAAATTCCTTTATTTTCCCTGTCAAAAAAATTCCCGAAAATCACCTCTTTTTCTCGATCGTCACAGTGGTGTTCCCCCTTAAGTACAAAATGAGCGGGAAGTTGCAGGGATGGCCTTTAGGGTGAACCGTTTTTCTAATTTTTTTTTTATTATTCGACATGCGTTAATAGTAATTGCCTGCCATTTCCAGGTTTTCCATTAGTGATGCACTCACCACAATTATCATCTCACAAATTAATAACACTAACAGACATTTGAAATCATGTTACAAAAAAATATCTCACGCGGAAGTAATTTATATTTGCTTATAAATTAAATATAATTCAATACCCATATGCATGTGGGTCGTGTCATTGTTAATTAATACGATAACTGACGTCAAAAAATATCAACATCATAAAACACGTGTGAAAAATATATATATATTAAATAATATAAAAAAAAATACTACAAATATATCTGACGACTCTACAATATACTGTGGCCTTAACAAATCATAGTTAAAAAAAATATTTAATAAAAAAGCGTGATTCATATCAACTGCGACTAAAAAAAAATCCCATATGCATTTAAGAAATATTATTTTTAACAAGTAAACAATAAAATATCACAATCATAAATAATTCATAAATATATATTAATACAATACCCAACGAAATTATTTGACGATATAAATTTTTATTACAGGCAATCAATTCTATTCTTTGGCTTCAGTCTTTATTCTTTATTTTACCGGTCAGACGGTTATCAATCGAAGATTAATTTCATTTATTGTTCTTAATATTAGTATATTCATGTAGTTCTTGATATGAGTGTTTTAAAAGTACAAACATGAAAATATGAATGGGTTTATTGAGAAGATGGTAGCTAGTCATCACGGATGCCAGTGTATTACTTTTAGCAGGATATTTTTATGTTTCTTCAATACTCTGTCCTTTTCCGTATTGATGTGCTCAATAAATATTAAATGACCAAGCAATTTTCCTCGTCCTTCTGGTACTTCTGCGATATTTGTCAGTGCCTTTAATAATAATCAACAATAAATTTTTATCATCTTTTTTCTATATCTCGTACATTTTATTTCATGATTTTTATTATCTATTCTTTAAGATACTAACCTAAAATTAAAGTAATTAATAAATTTTTAGAATAAAAAAACAATAATAATAATAACCTTTATAGACATAAGCCGACATTCTCTACTTTGTCCATTATTAGCCAGCTGTAAAAGTCTGTCAATAAATATTAACCCATTCAATTTTCCATAATTAGTGACAGTTGTAAACGCAACAAGACTTGCTGCTTTTTCATGAATTTCTTTCTGGAAAAAAAAAAAAAAAAAAACTATTTATTTTTATCTATAATTAGAGTAATATGATATCAAAGATATTTTTAACACGCTACGTCACATATTTTTATTCCGATTATTAAGCTTTAAAAAATAAAAACATTATTAAATAATGTTTATCGATATTCTATTAAGTGTTTCATACTTCAGATTTTCTTTTTTATTAGTTATCAATTATATTTAATTTTTTTTCCAAAAATAAAATGAATTTTAGTCTTTGTTTTTGAACAATAAATTGTCATAAAATAAAATTTACAAAAATATCTTTGATAAACAATATATCATAATAATAAAAAAAGATAAATTATAAATGCTTGAAAGTTACATAACTGCGTCATCATTCAAGAGCGGCGTGAGAATGGACAAAAAATTCTTAACTTCAAAAGCCTTCCAAGTACCCAAACTATCTTGACAAAGTAGCACTAAAGAAGATAAAATTTTAGCCAAAACTTCCTTATCCTTTTTATGATAATTCATAAGAGTGAGTAGGGTTTCGATCATATCAATTTCTATGGCATGACACACGTTGACATGAGCCAGAAGCAATACTTCAAGGCTATTGAGATAGAGTATCTGACACAAGTGGTAAGCATCTGTTAGTTACTGTACCCATAAGTATGATTGGAAACTTTACTGAAGTAAATAAATAAATAAATGAAACTGAAATCAACAATTTTTTTTAGATTTTTATATCAATTAAATTATTATAAAAAATATTTTACATGTAAAAATTAAAAAAAATTATAAGTTCGAATTTTCAAAAATATTTTCTTTATCATAATTGATTTATTTTAAAAATTATCAGATGTCTGCTGATTTCAGTATCATATCGTTCTACTAATGCCAAAAGAGCGTATCTCAAAATAAAATTTATTTTTTATATGCCCTTTTAGTTCTGCAAAGCCAAAAGGGTGTATATTTCGAAAAGCGCCCTTTTGGCATTAGCAACTCGATATAATAATAATAATTGATTTTTTTCTTCATTCTTACCAACAATTCTTTCTGTTCTCTACGAATAGCCTGAGCAATTATGTCGATAAACTTGTGCTCCTCCACCAGAACTTTAGCACCTGAAAGAATATTCGTCAATAATTAATAAAGCTTAAAATTTGTTTTATTATCGCTATTAATTAAGTTTATAGCTGTAATTCATATTATATTATATTGTTATTACTGAAGTAGTCATGGGCTAATATCTCCAGGACACGGGCCATTTGTACTCGAACGTCAATAACTACATCCTGGAGCCCATTTATCAAATTGTTGAGAATCGCTGGATTACGAATGATAGCTTGCCGCCCATTGGGTCTCCGAGCTATTTCTGAAATTGCTATAGCTGTTTTTTCTCTAATAAAAGGATCATTCGATATTAAAAATGTCCCCAATTCATCAACCAGTTTCAATCGTACCGCGACGAGAATTTTTTTTGGGTCCAGTAACATATCTGTTATTTTTGAGAGTTTTTGCCTTTCTTGAACTGGTTCCGGTTCTTTTGGTTTTGTTTCTGGATCTTCTGTTTGTGAATCTTTTTTCTGTTTTAATTATTTCGATTTATATTAATTATTGTACTTTAATATTTCACCTGATGCAATTAAACTTTGAACTCTATTATGTTTTTCTCTTTGATGTTTAATTTAATTTTAAGACATGAGAATCTAATTAAAATTTTTAATAAAAACATTCGCCGTGGTATCTAAGAATAATAGAAGTACAATTTTTTTTATTTGAAAAAAAAAAAGAAAATTTTTATTGGTATGAAGAAGCTTAGTTTAAATCTTAAATTATAGGTTAAATTTTGAAGAAATGGAAAAATTAACAAAGACCTTTTTTGTAAAGAACTTATCCATAATTTTCAAAAATTTAAAATTCAAATTCTGAGTTAAATATTGAAGATACGCAAAAATTGTAAGAAAGTTTTTTTGTAGAAAATTTAATTTTCTACAGAAAAAGTGATCATTTTTTTTCGTATCTCATCTTTTAGACATAATGTAAAAATTTTTACAGTAATTTTTATAATTTTATTTTCACGTTAAAGTTAAATTGAAAGGAAATTGATTTAAAAAATTTATTTCAATGTGTCATTACTGTTTTCTTTTTCTTAGAGAATATCAATAAAATTTTGATAATAATCCAGGAATCGCATAATATATTGTGAAAAATTTAAGGTTAAAATGTTTTGTATTAATTAATGAATATAAAATTTACTCGAGCTATTTTAGTGTAAGCCCATTTCCCAACGCGTTCTGACATGCGTGTAAACACAGCATGAGGGACTAAAAAACTCGGTAGTGGACTTTGTCGTTGTTCTGGTTGGCTTCTTTCGCTCATGTTTCAAACTTTTAATGAAAAAAATATTCACTTTAATTACAAACTTTTTCCCAATACAATTAAAAAATAAAAAAAAGAAAACTACCATTAGCCATAATCCGGTCGTACGTTTCATGGGGTAATCCACTCGGTTCACTAGTACTTGAATTTCTTTTAAAAAAACTGTAGTCCATTTTTAATTTTTATTTTATTTAAATTACTATAAAACTAAAAATAAAAATGATTAACCAAAATAAAATTTAAACAAACAAATGAGGATATAATGAATATAAATTCATATTATTATTAATATTTATGTAGATTTTATTATATTCACAAAATGAAACATAATCTATATATGTAGTTGTATCGTACAAGAGCGCTTTTTTAATTTAAAGTAATAATAACTAAAAAAAAAATATCTATTTGTTGCAACACAATAGTTATCACGCCAGATTCTAGATTTAATATATAAAGTTACATAAAAAAAATTGGAATCATTATTATTGTGATCGTTATTGCTATTGAATATCTCCGTTGCGCTAATTAGGAGATGTTTGTATCAAGTTTTTTTTTTCAGTTGTTTATTGTTAATTAATTAAATTTATTTTTTAGAGCCTTTAGTGTGTTTATCTTTGCGGCCTACAATTTTACAGTAACTGTGTCCATCAAGTCCAAAACGCTGTTTGCACACGCAGTCTTCGTGTAATTCTATGTTAGCTATACCCTCAGCTAATCTACGGGCCATCACCTGCGTAAATTGTTTCTTCTGGTTTGGTTTTGCATCCAAGAAGTGGTTTGAACTGAATGCAGCACCTCCAGCCTTCAATCAAAAAAATTTTTAAAATCAAAATATTATACTAACAGCCTAAAGTCTTTATATATGACTACCGAAAATTATATAAATAAAAAAAATTTGGCTTGGTAATTTTTCGATGTTATCAATCACCATGTACATAGTTTGCTACTTTTTAAATAAATTTAAAAAATAAATGTTAAGAAAATTTAAAAAATTATTGAATTTAGTTAGATTTTCAGAAATGAAGCTTTTATCAAATTTCGACGTTCTAACATCCTGAACTCTTAAGTCTACGTTAGAAAATTTTCAAATTTCATAGACGTAGAAATTTTAAACGTTCAATTTTATAAGCAAAAAGTTATAAAATAAATAATCCAAGATAAAAATGTTTTTTTTATTTTTTTTTTTTTCAGTAAATTTTTATATTTGTAACATTGCTCAGTTAATGAGTCAAAAAAAGTTTTCATACGCTTTTTTGCTTCAAGAGAGCAATATAATATTCACATGTACAAATCAAAATAAGATAATAAACAAATTTTATTTAGTGCGAAATTAAAATTTATTTACAACTACTTTGAAAAATTATCATAATAAAGTAACTATTGCTAAAAACGATATGAAACCTTGAAAAGACAAAAATTCAGGTCACGATTTTTTCAATCATACTAAATTTAACAGCCGATCCCATCTTTTTCTCGCGTCGCACTCACTGCAAGAAACGGTACTATCCTTGTTGCAAATATGATTATAAAGCTATTGCAGTTTTATGTTTTTATTTTAAACAAATAAGAATTTTGAAAAAAACGCTCTGCTACGAAGTAGATAATTAAAAAAATCTATTACATAGCAGGGCGTTTTTTTAATTCTTCTTTGTTTAGTACAGAAATATAAAGCTGCTATCGTAGGGACCGGCTGTTAAACCTCCCCCCCCCCCCATTTTATCATATAAATACACTGGAGAAAAAATTTCTTTTATTCTCTCGATTATACACTGAAAAAATAGAAAAATAAACTTGATTTAAGAAAAAAACTTTTGAATCACTAAAATCATTTTGAAAAGTTTGATCGTCGTGAATCAAGCAAGAAAATTTTTGGAACTAATAAATTTTTCTTAGCTTATGTAAATTTGACTAAATCCCAACTTTTTTCCTCTTGATTAAGGTAGTACGAGCACCAAGGCAACTTTTGATAAAAGGCTTGATTTTTTTTTAATATGAAGTTTAAATATGTCTAAATAAATTCCGAAAATTTGAAGGAGATTGCCCGATTATTTAAATAAATAATTAACTTTGAAGTTGAGCAACTTAACATAGGTTTTATGGGATAATCTTCAAACATTGATACATTTCTGTATTTTTCTCGTAAAACTGTCGGTAAATATTTTTAAAAAACTTATTGATGAACGTAAATATATTAGTGATAAATTTAATTCAAAAAAATTTACACTTGTCCGACTAATTAAAGTGTATTAATTAAAAGAAAAATAAATGCCACCATTAGCCAATGTTAAATGTATATCTATATATATATATATTGAAAAAAATCATATGGTTACTGCTCTCCTCTTACCGCGCTAGAGTCGATACCTATCCCCATCCCGCTTAGCGCTCGTACTACCTTAAAGACGATAAAAATCTTCAAAATGATTTTTTTAATTCAAAAGTTTTCTTCTTAAATCAAATTAATTTTTTTATATTTCAGTTTGTATATATTATTTTTGATACTTAAATAAAATATAAATAATTGCTTACAGAAACAGCAAATCCAGCGCAAACATCGTTGTTAGTAACAACCAAGTTACTCTTTTCGATACTTCCGTCCAGTGGTTTCTTCTTACTATCAGCGAATGTGTATCCAGACTGGGCATCAAATCCTACCACGTTTTTCTGTGGTTTACCGGACACCAGGATGTCATTGAGGAAGCCGACGTGATAATAAGTTAGACCTAAGTCACGGTAAATCTTTTCTCCCATCAATAATCGCAAGTGTTGGAGCTAAAATTAATTAACAAAGAAAATAATGAAGTTAATAATTGTTGATATTAATTATTATCAGTTATAAGTTATCAGCAAACACTTATATAAATTACAATGAACGGATATAGACTAACCGAAAGAGGAAGCGGACTCTTTTCACAAGGAGAAGCGATTACACCAACGACAACCTTGACGGCACCCGCACGGAATGGATAATGAATAGCTTCCTCATAAGCACCAGTGAGTTTAAAAGTACCCAATTCAATGTCAAGTCGCTGCTTAGCGTACTTGAGACGTGTTTTTGCATCACCCTCTTTAGCCTCTTCCAGACTTATTAGCGGTGTACTTGGGCTAAAGTTTATATTCTTGACATCACCATCGATATTAACGCTACCACCGGTAGTGTAGTGCTGAGGCCACTTCATGTGCTCGCCGTATCCGATCAGTCCAACATGAACATCCCTGTTTAATTAACCAGAATTAATCAAATGCAAAATGGAGAAGAGATTACAAACTTTATTGATTAAATATTCAAATCTCGGCTCGTAAATTATTCAAGTTATGTTCATTTTTAATACTACCGTAAAATTTACTGATAAAGAATTTTATAAGTACAAATTCAGTCAATATTTTATTTATAAACTAATTGAAAAAAAAAAAAAATATAATATACATCAACCAGACTATGTTTTAGCTTGCAAAGTCCATAAGCTCTATAGTTTTTTTATTAAGTTATAATAGGTTTTAATAAAAGTTCCCTCATTTGTTGAGGTTCTTAATAAAAATACAGTAAATTGACGCATTAAGATGGAAGGAAAAGTTATATTTTAAATAAAAAAATTCCTGGTTGATAAGTTTCTTTTTCCTTCGTTGTAAGACGCTTTTATATTATTAGAGAGGTTCTGATTGCGGCATATGAGTTTATTTTTTATCCGCAGGAAAAACCTGGGATAGTATAAAAATGCAAGCCTCAAAAGCTCATTCAATTTAAAATATATAAAAAAAAAAAAATTCGATACTGAGTACGAAAAATGTAATTTAAATCTAAAAAATATTTACGTGATTCCATGTTGTGTCAATTCAGCTTTCAAGTCTGTAATCATCGGCACAATAAGTTCGTGGTAAACTTTTTCATTTTTGGAGTCCTGTTCGACAACAATAACGATGTCTGCCTCCTTCTTGGGTATTTTAACGCTGTGAGTAATGCCAATGGGTATCTCATCTTTGCCAACTTTGCAGCTAGCACAGTCGGCGGGTATCGATATGAAAACTCGTTCTTTACGACAAGCAGCGTAGTAAGCAGCGGATATTAAACAAGCCGCACGTGGTGTTTCTGCGCTCATTGCGTGGTCACACGCCTGCCGATAAATACCCGGATTTACGTAATTAAAGCAAGAACTCATTGAGGATGACCCAGCAAAGTATTCTGTACATTTGGGGTTTCTTTGATGGTGGTGGTGGTCTACTGCTGGTGCTGCTGCACACCCGGCATTTAATCTGTATGCGTTACCGAACTCATCCTCCTTCTTCGTTATCTGTAATTATTTATTGTTCATTATTAATTATCGACAGGTAAATTTTTAATAAGATAACATTTTTATAGGAATTTATTCATTAAAATTTGCATACATAGAACGTGCTTAAACTTACGTGGCCGGAAGGTAGAGTGAAATCATCATAAGGTTCGTTATCAGCGTCACCAAATATACCACGCAATTTACCATGGTAGAATCCAGATACTCGTACGCTGCAAATCATTGGTGCCTTCTGGCTACATGCGACATGAACACCGTAATCTGATTTAACGTTAACAATTGGAAGCGTAAGGAATGCATGTAAGTTCTTGGTACTCGCTGGGTATTCTGCTGGTTTATTATCAACCAAAATCTGTAATTTAAATTAGACATACATCCTTTATTAATCTAATCTCCTCGTAATTTTCAAATGCCAAGTCTAAAGTGAAAATGTCACTAGGATATATATCAACTAAATTCTTTGACCTATTGCTTAAATTTGTCTGCAAACTTTTAGATTAATATTAGAAAAATTTTTTCGTAATATAATCTTTTTTTAACAAAAATAACTCCGTTAAAAAATTTTTTAAATTTTATATTTGTACTTTTACCACATTTTTAATATAAAAAAAAATAATTATTTATTCCGTTTTTTACTGACATTTTTCGAACGTTAGTTTATAGAGTATTGCACTATTTTTCCTCTAAAGATCATGAAAAACTGAACAAATTAAAAAAAAAAATTAAGAAAACGGTTGACCCGATTTTTGAAAATTTTCAATTTTCTTAGCGGGAAGTTAAAAATGTCATGATATAATGATATAAATATTTTTTATCAATTGGTAAATTTTGATTGAAAGAAAATGAATAAAAATAAAATTTTCAATAAATTAATTTTTGATTTTTTATGATCAAAAAACGTTACACGCATTTAAAAAATGATCTACTCAAAATTAAAATATAAAAATTGGCAAAAAAATTAAATAAAAATCAAACTTACATTGCCGTTATTCTTGAGCGTAATACTTTCACCCGGAGCAGTAACAGTAACACTGACAAGTTTACCACTGTTGAAAGTACCAACAACCGAAAAGTTTCCATCGTGAACATCCTGGGCCAAAACGTAGTCGCAAGTACCAGCCAAGGTAAGATGACTACCATCAAAAGTAAAGAAGTGACCACCCTCAACGACAATACCGGTCTTACTAAACGGCGGTATAATGTCACTGGGATAGAAGGTCGGACGGTACGCGTGGTAAATGTCATAAATGCTTGGCAATTCATGATTACGAATCAAATTGAGGACTGACACCCTCAAGATCGGTACACCGGGCAGGTCTTTAACGTAACCTAGATGACTTGGTAGTCTAACATCGAAGATTTCGTAGAAGTGATCGGCATTTCCACGATTTTTCAATAGAGTTATGATCGAGTAAGTAGCTTCTACGGCATGTCCATAGATATTCTTGATTTCAGTTCCATCGTCGACTTTCTGGTGCTTAACATGCTTCATAATGTAGTTATAAAGAACAGTGAAGAACTGTTTGAGCTCTTCAGTGGGCAACAATCGTTTGATCTGGGTGAACGCTTCTTCAATGGGCATCAAAATCGCATCAGGTACCTTGAAACTCATCAACTCCTGGTACTTCTCCTTCAACATTTCGTAGACCGGCAGCGCTTGGATCTGCTGTGTCGTCAGTTTAATAAAACTCTTGACCTCATTTTCGATTTGTCCGTATCCCTTCATTGCAATTTTAACAATATCATGCACTAATTCGCTAACCATACCAATGATGTCTTTGATTTCTTTCTGATGTTGGTTAATGATGTCAAAAATGGCCTTGATGTAAGTAGCAGCTAGCTTAGAAGCGGCGTCTGTTATCTCTATACCTGCGTGCAAAACTTGGTCGAAAGACTTCTTGATTCGCGGGTAGATAGCTTTCAAAGCGTCATTTATTTTATCTGCGATTTCGTGGACCTGTTTGCTCAACTCTGTAGCGCGCTTCATGAATTGAGTAACTACTTGAGTGACGGCGTTAATTAGGCCACCAAAAACTTTGTTCAAAGTCGCTTGAATCTCTTTGACAGTGGTGTCAGCATTCAACTCCTGCTTGAGTTTATCGAGCTCTCCTTGGTAGTAGTCTAGCACGGGCTTCCAGTTTGGTTGTGCTTTCTTCAAGTGCTCGAACAGATCACGGAATTCTATATTGGCTTCGTCGATCAGTGCTATGAAGACTTCCTTTAATTGCTCGACGCGTTTCACCGACAACTCTCGGTAGAAATCTACTGTCATCGCTACGTTGTCTTTCTGGTAGTTGAAGGTTGGCTTAAGGAACCTGCTGTCATCCAAGAAGACCCCGATGCTGAATAAATTCTTTTTTTCGCCGTTCTTGTAGAAGTCTGCATGGTACTCTGCTACTTGTCCAAGGACCAGGCGTCCATTTATCGACAATTTGGTGTCTGGCTTGTCTTTCTGGTAGCTCTGGTACTTGAAGCTATTGAAGTCGTGGGCCTCGAAGCTAACAACTACGGGAGGGTTGCTGAGCAGAGAGAACTCGGTCTCAATTTTTTGGAGATTCTTGGAGAATTCCATGATCGTGTCAGTCTTCAGGAGCTCTTTCCCTGGGCCCTGGATCAGGAAGTGGGCTTCGTGGAGGTTCATCGAGAAGAGAGTTCCGATGTTACGCGGCTTTTGGTTGATGTCAGTGTATGCCAGGAAGGAACCGAAGCCTAATTCAGTGGTGGAGAAGGCAAAGTGTTGCTTAAGGTCTACCTTCAGCTGCTGACCACGGCTTCCAAATTCAAACTCTCCAGTTATGTTGTAGCCTTTCGGGATTTCGTGTTTGACTAAATGAGTTACTATTGTTATTTTTTGAGCTTTCTTCGCGAAGACGTCGATGTCTACATTTGCGTCTAGCAAATGTTCGCCTCCGTAATGGAGTTTTCCTTTCACCATCATTTCCTGTAATAAAAAAAATGTTTAGTTACTATGGAACTTATTAATCTTTATAAAAGTATGCATTGTTAAACTGATGAAAACTGATAAAAAAAAGTAAAAAACGATTTTTTTATATTTAGAAAATATGTTGAGAATATACTGGCGAAAAAAAAATTGAATTTAAGAAAATTTAGTCGAACAAAATAGTAAAAAATTTGTAAAACTTTTTTTTTCATGAGCTTGATATTAATTTTATATTTTTTCATAATTTTAACGATTTATCCTTTTCGAGTATGAATTAAAAATAAAAAGCACTTTTTTTTTTTGTTTTACACCAATAGAAAAAGAATATTGTAAAAAAAAAAAAATTAATTTTGTACTCTTCAAAGTTTAAGTAGAATGATGTTAAAACTTAAAAATGATATGATTATTTAATCATCTATAAAACCACTCATGAAAAATAACTCAATTTCAGCCGTCTAAAGGGATTTCCCTCTTTAAAATTTATTTAAAAAAAAATTTAGAAAATAAATAAATATATAATTACCTTAGGTTGAGATGGGTAAATAAATTTAGCGTCACCAGCAATAGTAGCAGAATTCTTCTCAACATTAATATCACCGTTGGCTACGAAGCTAGTCTTGTCATTTGGGTGATTCTTACGGTCTAGATACGCTGAGATATCAATTTTGTATGGACCCATAGGCGTTTTAGACTTGGGAACATCAATAGTAGCAATCAAAGCTAACTCGCGGCTTGGAAGAGTCAATATTATCGCCGATTCTTTGGGGTGAGAGTAAATTTGTGACGAGTATTGGGTCTTGTCTTTGGAAGTGTGAAGATAAAGGTTGGCTGTGTGGTCAAAAGTCATTTTTTCAGCAAAGTATTTGGTGGTTGTCTTCAAGCCAAACTCAACTGGTACTTTGAATTTCTTAAGGTCAACTTCCACGGTTATTTGGTGATCTAAACGTGTTTTTTCTATAAAAATGTTAAGTTAATAATTATAAATTATAATCAACATATTCAAATATAAACATAAAAAAGATTAGTTGATACATACGATCAGTGTCCATCGTAGATTGTAATTTAAAGTGTGCGCAGTCTTTGCTCTGCTCGCAGTAGCTGTTGAACACAAGAATTTCCTTGTCGGACAGCTTGAGCTCACCCACCACAGCCGAGGGTCCGAAATTGGCGTTAAGAAGAATAGCAGTACCCACTTGTCCATCATTTTCACGTGTCAATTGTTTGCGTGAGTAAGTAAATTTGGAGCTACGTTCATTCTCACCGATTTGTAAGTTTCCATTGCCCTCGACGATCACCGTGCCTGCTTCGTCACGTCTGTTGTAGTTTGTACTGCAAAGCATAATTAAAATCAATAAGTTAATTAAATATTTCTTCTTATTTTCGTACCATCTATTAAGTATAAAAAAATATATTTAGTAGGAAAATTTTTTAATACAGGAACATATCGTGTAACAAATGCCAAAAGGGCGTATAGCGTATAAAAATTTTTTTTTTTTCCAATCACTTTGCAAACATATTCTGAGCTGAAAAATCAAAAAATCTTGTTCCAAAGAACCTCCTCAAATTTTGTATTTTAATGGCTCTAAGAGTAAAAATAAAAATAATGAAGATAAAAAATCCTAAAAATAGTAATAATATTATTATTAAACAACAAAAATGGATATTAAATTAAATATGGCTATCAAGCTACTAAGACGCGAAATTTCAAAAGTTTTAAATAAATTCTATCATCGCAATCATTTTTTTAAAAAGTGAATTTTTTCTTAATCTGAATCACACAACATAGCTTCAAAAACAGTAAAGAAAGAAAATTAGATAATTTTCGCGAATTCCAAATAGAGTCAAATAAAACTGAAAAAAAAAATTTTACTATTTTATAAAAATTCAGAAAAAAAAAATTTTTTCCTTGCTTATTTTGCCCCTTTATATAGTTTAATTTTTCATTTTTTATATTTATTATAATAACATTGCTTCATTAAGGTAAGTATTATTTTCATGTTTTGTAATAAAAAACGAAATTTTTCTTATACACTATACACCCTTTTGGCTTCAAGAAAAATTTTCCTAAAACCAAAAGAGCGTATACGTTTAAGAGGCGTTCTTTTGGTGTTGGTAATTCAAAAAATTTTTTTTACTGATCTTAATGTTTTGGACAATTTTAAGTTGATAAGGGAAAAAAAACTTTTTCGTTCGCCCTTTCGGCTCGAAATCCTATCTTACTATAAGAGTACGCCCTTTTGACATTTTTGTCACACGATATATTCTTGATAAATATTAAGAATAATTTTTTTTTGTCTGAAAAAATTAATAAATACAAATGATTAATTTCAACGAATTCTTGAATCAAAAAGTCCTTGTCTAAACAACAATTTTTTTTCCTCTCAGTGTAAGAAAATTAATAACAATAATAGTTACCTTCCAGTAACAATATTCTTTCCATCACTGGTGACAGTGAGAAGAATCCTCTTGCCAGTCTTGACGGCGGGTGCTGTAGTGATTTCAGCATGAATCTTACGATGTTGAATCTTGTCACTATCGAAGTTGATTTCGATGATGAAGCTATCCATGTTATCAAACTTAACATGACCATCAGCAGTTGCGAATCCTTTAGTAAAGCCAGTTGAATCAATCTTCCATTCTCCTAAAATAAAAAAGTCATCATCATCAACATGATCATTACTTCAAGCCAACATTCTCCAAATTATTCACAAATTACAACTCACCTTTGTATTCAGTCTCACTGAGCTTATTGACCTTAGCCGCCAATTCAATTTTACTGTTCGGACAAGTGAAGATAACATGGGCATGATGCAAAGCAGGGTTCATTTCAAACTCGCTCTTCATTTCGTATTTATTATCATCCGTCTTAACGTAAATGTCGTTGTTCCATGGGCCATCTTTCTCGCGTTTATGCTCAAGGCCAAATTCAATGGCATGGACCTTTTCCATCGGCACTAGAGCCTTAGCAGTAATCTTAACACTACTCATATCTGGTTTGTACGCAGTAGCCAACTCTCCTGAGGTCTTGGAATCTCCATAATTGACAGCTACAGTACCTGAGCCCTTCTTGATTTCTCCAGTCGGGTCGTGTTTGAAAGAAGTTTCGATTATCAGCGGTGGATAAGTCAGAACAGTCAGTGAAACATGTCCTTTGCCTTCTTTGACACTTCCAGGCTTGACTCCAGTCTGACTAACAGCAACTTCAGCCTTGATACTCTTGTCATCATTGTAAGTCAGTGCATACCTACTCTTGTAGTCCAGTTTGTCGTTGCCTTCCGACTCACTAGGCAGCAAAATACTGTGCATCTTGCTGTACTTCAAGTTACGCAACTTCTCACTAGGGAAGACAAAAGCCAGGTCAATCTTCACGACATTTGGATCCGTTGGTCCTTCGCTGTGATGGTAGTCTCCAGTGCCCTTGAAGGACAAGTCGCTGCCCAATGAAGAGTCCAGTTTCCATGATCCATTAATTCCAGGCACGTTGTTTTTCCCGTCAGAGTACTTGGTACTCAAGTCAAAGTCGAAAGGCTTCACCATGTAAGCGCCCTTAAGATTGACCTTGATATCGCTGTGGTGTTTGTTGTCCTTAGATTCCGCGTACTTGGTACTGACAAACATATTGATGTCCTTTCCATCTCGGTTCATGAATTGCATGGTATGCTGGCAATCAAATTCATGTCTCAAGGGTTCAACAAGTGCAATATTGAATTCATAACCTAACTTACGGGGTTCACCTCCTTTCTTCTCATAATCCATCAAGTTGTAGTTACCCTTGATATTAGATTTCTCGGTGGTGCGATCAGCAACTTGGCTACCTTCAATAACGACATACCTTCCATTAGGTAGAGTCAGCTGACCATCTCCCTTGAAGTCGTAGCCATTTTGCGGAGTTCGCTTAAAGTGTCCTTTGCCGTTTACTTCATACTTATGAGTAAACAAGTCAATAGTGTTCTTCGAATTTACAGATGTCTTGTCGTATTCTGTGTCAGTTGAGAATTTTATTGATTTGTTGGGGTCCTTATCGTCAAAGCTGATCTCTAAGTTGCCAACGTGGCGAGGTCCTGTAACACTTACATCTCCAGTTCCCTTGATCTTGCGGTTGATTGTCATCAGATTGATATTAAAGTTACCGTTTCCTTTGCCGTTTTGATAGTTGTATTGACCATTGACCAAGATGATGTTCTTGACATTCAAATTGAGCTTTCCTGAAGCTTTAGCCCCAATCTGAACGTTCAACAAGTAATCCAGGTACTTGGCAGTATCCAACGAGACGACAGCGTGGTTGTTTATCTGCGAAGGAGTAGCAGCTAATCCATAATCGACTTTGAAACTCTTACCATTCATCTTCAAGTCTCCGACAAACTGGATGTTTTTGCTCTGCGGATCCATCTGGCACTCAGATTGCACATCAACTTCGTATTTTCCTCCTGGGAGCTCTAGTTTGCCTGCGAATGTGTGTTTGAAGTCTGATAGCTTCTTGTGCTTACCTTCAAGGGCGACTTTGTTGTCCATAATATAAGCTTCGAATCCAGCTTCCCAATTTTGAGGCATGTCTTTTTCAGATTTTACCTCAACATCAGCACCAATTTTGAACTTGCCATACTTGACATCAAACTCAGATTCAAAACTATTAGGAGAAATCTCATTTTCAAATTTAGCAGAAACGTCTTGCGCAGGCCACGTTATCTCAGACTTGCCTTTCATAGAAGTAAAGTAATCGTAAGGATGGCTTGGCTTGTCGTTCTTTTTGTACTCCAGGCGATCGGTAATCGCAAATCTATTGGTCTTTGAGTCCAAGTCTGCGCCATAAGTCACTACGAAGTTATGATCGATCATATTGTTAGTCTTGCCATAGTGCCAGATTACTTTGAACCCAATGTTTGGATTTTTGGAAGGTACAACTGCGAAATTCGTATCGAAACCTTCGGGCGATCGTTTTCCATCGAATTTGATGCTCAAATTTTCATCATTGTGCGAAGCTTTGGTGTCTATAGTAAGAGCATTGGGCTTCACGGCAACGAAACCATCGATGCCAACCAGTTTTTTGTCGGAAGCGATCAAAGCAACTTGATTGAAAGAGTATTTCTTACCATCTCCTTGATCTTCCACTCCAATGTCACCTTCTACTCGATAAGCAGCCTTGTTGCCAGAAGATCCCTTCGCACCAGCTAGTTTCTCAATGTGTTCTGGTACCTTGTACTCTAAAATAGGTTTGTACTTGCTACCATCAGCCTGAAGACCTACGGTTGCATGATACTCGTCAGAATCGTGGTTGACCATAATGGAGAGCGCCTTCTTCTTGTCAGTATTCTCCAACTTTATTTCTCCCTTGATATTCTTGATCGGCGACTCCAGGGTAGCCTTGATGTACTTCTCTTCGGGCTTGTCAGCTCCGTCGATGCGCAAAGAAACTCGCCTGTTGGTACGGCTTTTAGGAGTATCAAAAGTCACCTCAAATGACCGTTCGCTAGGCTTGCTCTTGTCGTAGTAAGCCTTGAACATGTAGCTGGTGACATCATTGTTTTCAATGCTGATTAAAAACTTGGCTGGACCACCCAATGGGAACAAAGGCTTCTTGTGAACTGCATCAATGCTATCATAAGGATACGAAAAGTGTCCACAAACAGTAACGCCTAAAATTTGGGACAACTGGTCGAAGCAATCGCTGTGTTGTTTTCCAGATGAGAATTTGGGTGCCTTCAAATTTCCTTTTCCGTCAACGAAGAACACTTGACTGGACAGGTTGATGATCTCTTGCTTCTTCTTGGGTACACCGAAGCTAACCTCAACGCCGTTGCCGTTCAATACTTTGAGTGAGAAGTCTGAGCCGGTTGAAGTGTGCATACGGCTTATAATCTTCAGACCTGATTCAGAGCCAAAAACTTCCATCATCAAACTCGCTTCCAATGCAATGTTTGCACTAGGCTCCATTCCAATTTTTATGACCGCGTTCTTTGGGTCGCTCAGGATAGCTTTCGTGTCGATGTTTCCATTAGCCTTGATCTGACTGACAACGTTTCCTTCAACACCAACGACCAGCGGGAATCCCAAACCTGTCGGATAAACCAAGTCCATGTCCATGAAATTGATATGGTGCGTGTTGTGGTAATTTGAGTTTTTCATTGCGTTGACTAGGTGGTCGAAAAAGTCAAGCAAGCTGGTCAACATTGGCTGGGAGTCCTTATGGTTGCTTTTGTCCTGCATGTCGATGTAAGCCAACTCGACGCCAAACATGCGGATGGAGAGATCAAGATCCAAATCTTCATCAACTTCAGTCTCTTGAGGTTTTGCTTTGCGTGCAAATTCGTCTAAATCAGCTTGACTGACACTACGAGGATTGCGAGCAACCTTGTTAACCTTATCTTTTAATTTGCCGTAAGTTTCATCAAACTGCTTCTTGCCGTCAACCAATAATCCAGCGACTTCTTTGTGTTTGAGAACACCTTTGGGTCCAAAGTAGTGCTCAATTAGCCGGTCCAAGTTTTCAGTACGTGCATCAATCTCCAAAAAGTTAAATGACCGTCCGAATAATTCAGTGATCAAATTCAAACTACTTGAACGAGGTACAAAACTCTTTTGACTGTAAATAACATTGTGCTCAGCAACAGAACCAATACCAAGTGTATCGATATTGTATGAGAACTCACGATTGAATGAAAACTTACGAAAGTCCTCAGGGAATTTAGAGCGCGGTCTCAACTCTCCGAAGTGCCTCTTGGCGTCCTGCTTGTTTGGATCAGTGCTGGCACGTAAGTTACGCAGGTGACTTGTCACAAAAGAGCCAACTTGATTAACTGTTTCAGAGTCAATTATTTCCTTCAATTCATTAGCGACATGCGGGCACGGGCATTCAACTAAAGTTAAATATGCTTTTATTCTTATTTCACTGTCCTCTTCTTTGTCCCCGAATAGTTTAGTCAAAGGCATCATCCATTGCTTTGAACACTTAGCAGTAAGCGCTTCAATCGCAGCAACACGAACTCGTGGATGTACTGCTTTATCTTTAGCGATGGACATTACTTTTTCAATGGTCGGTTCATCTAGATAGTTAGCATTACGAAGTGCCTTCAATGCAGCAATCAAAACGTTTTCCTGGTCACGATTCCCGGGCTTTGAGTTACTCAATTTGCTTGAAATTTTCCCAAGTGCTTCTTTCACCTCAGCTGCGTTTTCGCAATCATGTTGCTGACAGTATTTACCAATTACGCGACCAACTCCCAAATATGCAATACGAGGGAGTTTCGGGCGATCTAAAAGTGACGTTACTGCAGCAACAGTTGGCAAACTTACGTGATTTACCAGTGCAAGACTCGCGTAGTAAGCTATCAAAGGAATTCCAGTTATTTCTTTGTTGTTAATCAACTCAATAACAACTTCCGCAGAATCTCCAGTTCCAGCGCGGTAAAGAGCTTCTAGAAGAGTTTTTTTATCCGTGTTCTTGTCAAAACCATCAACTCCAGCCTTTACTTTATTGTAAGCCGACAATATGTGGCCCTTTGAGCTTCTGCGCAGGACTTTTATCAGTGCGCCGAATTTCTCAGCAACGCCACTTTTGACTCCTTCAGGAGTTTCTTGTTGTTTTACGGCTTTTAACGCCGCCATTATCGCATCAGGTGACGATGACTCAGAAACTGGATGAGGATTTTCGAATATTATCGACTTGGGACGAGATACTGGGCCAGGTGAGCCTGGATTGGCGTTGTCAGACTTAAAGGTTAGGGTTGAAACGACATGAGTCTTTGCTCCAGCATCTCCGTTAGAAAATGGACGGTACTTATAAGTTTCCTCTGATTTGGCCGACTGGAGAACTCCTTTCTTGAAGATCTGCTCAACATGCTGGGTGGAATCAAGAACTGGAGATGCTTTTATGTCTGATGATTCGTCGTAGACCGCGTTAATTAATGCGTGACGAATATGCTCGCGGTGCGAACACTTGCTGAAGTTCTTGTACTTGCGGACAATTGTGGATTCGCCCTCACGGCGGAACTCAAAGTCGGTCTGGCATGTCCCGAATATATCGGTTTCCCTATGTGTCGTAACACCAGAGTCCTGCATAACGGCGGATTGAAACAGCGAAGCAATCGCACGCTTGATGTTAAGCGAAGCTTGAGAGTCTTCAGGTTCCGTGCAAACACTCGTGTCAATATGTCCATCGTGGTAATTGAACTGGAAAGCGTGGTTCTCCACGTCTTTTTGCGGTGCCGGCTGAAAAAAGTTTTTTAATTAATTTACTTGCTTTATTTTGTTGCCGAACAACAGAAGCCAGAGATCAAGGGATTAGAGGTTAGAAGTATAAGACGAGGTCATTGTAACTTACTAAGATTTATAAGAACAAAGATAAATGACAATAGGTACTTACAGCACCGTTAACGCGGACATTTTTCAGTCTCAATTGATGAATACAGTCTGGCTTGACGATTAATTCAACTAATGCGTTGAGTTTTACATTCGTGTCGCCTTCAACTTCACTAACTGACGTTACCGACGTTCCTTCGTATTCATATCTGTATGTGTGTCCCTCTGCGTAAGCTTTACTCGTTTGCACTATTGTTTTAAAAAGAAAAAAATTTTAAGTTAGCTTGATTTGATAATTGGAAGAAATAATTTTAAGTGTGATACTGAAGTTAACAGACATTTGACACTTATTTTTATTTTTATAAAAACTAAGGTCCAGTTTTTCAATCCAAGATAAAAGTTTTATTATTATTGCTAGTATATTTATATATATGGAATATATAGACATATTTTATCATTGGATAAAATTTTATCCTGAATTGAAAAACTGGCCCTAAATTATTATGAAAACAAAATTTTGTGAAAAAATTAAACTTGCAGAGATTGAAGAAATTTATAAGTATAAGGTAAAAGCCCCAATAGATGATCATGTACCAGTATATGATCATTCCATGTATTTGTATACCTATATTTGTGAATATAGATATACAAATACATGGAGTGATCGTATACTGGTACGTGATCACCTATTGGGGCTTTTACCTTAAATTCTTAAAAATATTTTTGAACTAAAATGTAATTTTTTCATACCAAGTACCAAAAGATGTAAGGTGTTTAATGATTTTAGTATCATATTTGTAAAAAAAAATTTAACGTACTATAGTGATTTACCAAAAAAATTGTTTTTTATTTTAAAAATTTGCTGTTTTAAACTCAAGTACTATGTGATTTATTCATTTAAATTTATTAACTATTAAATTAATCTACATCATTTTGTATTTGTACAGATTGGATCATTTTATATTTATTTCTGTATTATCATAATGTTAATAAATAACTTATAAAAAAATGTATAGTAAAAATATTAATTGCCTTTTTTTACGGCACCAAAATTACCTGAAATTTCATGCTAGCCGTGCTAGACATGCTAGACATGCTAGACATGCTAGCACTTCTAGACCAGGGAACCCCCTTAATTATTAACTGTTCCATCACTGACAATGTGAAATATTATTATGAAAATTAAAATGCTTACTTTGTCACCCGATAAAGAAATTACATAAGCCATTAAATCACATCAAGATCAATGAGTCATTTGTCCTCTATATATTATTTGATTATATTTAGACAATAAATTTAATCCGTAAGACAAAGTGGAGTGATCGTATACGTGGTACGTGATCACTTAGTGGGCTTTTTACCTTAAATTCTTAAAAATATTTTTGAACTAAAATGTAATTTTTTCATACCAAGTACCAAAAGATGTAAGGTGTTTAATGATTTTAGTATCATATTTGTAAAAAAAAATTTAACGTACTATAGTGATTTACCAAAAAAATTGTTTTTTATTTTAAAAATTTGCTGTTTTAAACTCAAGTACTATGTGATTTATTCATTTAAATTTATTAACTATTAAATTAATCTACATCATTTTGTATTTGTGCAGATTGGATCATTTTATATAATGAATTAATGATACTGAAGTTAATAGAAAATGACAATTTTTAAGTTTTTTTGAAAAAAATTTTTTTATTAAAAGAGTTAAAATTTTAAAAGTATCTTTTTTTTAAAAAAAAAGTTTTTTTTTTGTACGTTAATTAAAAACTGATGAAGAAATAAATGAACTTACTTCCATGACATCCAACCATGCATTGATCTGAAAAATGAAATGATCAGTAATTAATAAATAATTGAAAGTGTTTTTACAATTATGTAAAAGCTTAATAACTACTATATATGCATTGTTTTATTCATAATATAAAATATGAGTGATAAATAAATTGAAAAGTGTCAAGTATAATGAAAAGAAAAAAAAAATATTTTAACAACGTATCATTTGTGAAGCTAAAGCGATAATCTTACGGTACTAAGAGCACTGAGTCACTCGACCTGTGACATATTCTATCCTATATATTTACTGGGTATTTTTTGCGATATCACATCTTGAATGACCTTAAAATATTTTTTTTTTTTTTTTTTTTTTTTTTTTTTTAGCTACATTACACTCTTATAAATTATATTCATTATTCATCATCATTATTACAGTTATAATTATTGTTGTTGACTGTTGAATTAATTTATATCTCGGGTGTAAAAATACGTAATGATAAAAATAAAATAAAACGCTAAGGAAAGTTTGTGTCTTTAAATTAATCCATAAATTACGTTGTTTCTACATATTAAGATAAATAGATATGTTTATCTACCCCTACGAAACTCATAATTCAGAATATAATTTATCATATCTCATATTATCACTCCTCCCAACGATTCCTCGAAACCAAGAAATGACAAATAAATAAAAATATTGAACACGGGTCAGGATTAATCGCTTAATCGGGTCTTATGATTTTGCCAATTTCTTAAACATGTTACAAATATGTTATTAAATATTTTAATTTCCCTCTGTTCTTATATTTATTTCTTTCTTTAAAATTTTAGCAATTTTTACTATTAAAAATTCACGGATTTTATTTTTTAAAAGAAAAACTGAAAATTATCCGTTAAAAAAGAAACGGACATGTAAAAAAATTTTTATAAGTTATTAAATACTATAGTAAAGTGAAACTATTAAAGAAATAATTGAATCATTTTTAAGAAATATAAAAAAAGTTGCTCAGTACTAAAAACCTCAAATTATTTCAAACATTAAATTTTTTTATACATATTATAACAACTTGTATGATGTTATAAAATGAACTTCAAAATATATTAATAGTTGATGAAATTAAAAAGTCAAATAATTTTTAATATAATTGTAATAATTCGTAATTATAAATTATAAGAATTGAAGTTAATAATTTTATTCAATAGAAATTACTTCAACTAAATTATCATTTAAAAAATTCAAACTTTCCGTATGAGTAAAATAGTATATTACATACCTAGGCCAGTAAAATAAGAAAAGTCTCAGATCACATGTAATTGTTGGCCGAGGCGAAGCCGAGGTTGACAAACATGTGATCTGAGGCTTTACTTTTTACTGGCCAAGGTGTGTATACTATTTTTCTGCTCGACGTAGCCGGAATATGGCAACTTTGTTTAGCGCAGCGGCCAGAAAGTTGCCACTTTCCGGCCGGAGGGCAGAAAAATAAATTATCCATTATATAAATTAATTAATTTAATAATTATATATTGTTCGAAATTAATGATAATGATAATGAAAAAAACATTGTAAGACAAATGTCCACGACAAGTAAATAAAAAAATTAAGCTTAATTCAATGAAAGACAAACCGAAATAAAAAAAATAAAATCAATTGAGTTTAAATCAACTGAATAAAATAACCGACGGATATTTAGATTCGTTTAATAAATTTAAACAGAGTAAATAGTTAGGGTGGGCTAATGGGCAAATGAGAATTTAATTTCGTGATGTGACAAGAAAAGTGTCAGATTTAATGCCCTCATGTTCTAGAACTGTTCGTACTTAATATAAAATTTATTTATATATTATGCGGTATATATTATATATTACAATAAAGATAAAAAGAGATAATACGGTAGATCAATTTTGTAAAGTAAGGGAGTAACAGTGATGATGTACGTCGAGCTCAATTTAGTAAATGTCCGGTCAAATACGTTCTATCCGGCGGAACGATAATCGTTTCAATGATATACTCGTGAGCTACCTCATTACTTATTATCAACAACTTAATAATAAGAATAATTATAACAATAATAATAAATAATTTATTTTTAATCAATCTCTTATTTCAAAATTATTTCTCAAAATTTGCTTCAAATTATTTCTTAAAATTTCTTCGCATTAAAATTTAATATTTTTTCACTCAAAAATTTCACTTTTCTAAAAATAAAAAAAAAAAAAACAAATAAATTAATTATGAACTATTAGTGACTAAAAACTTACCTGCGAAGGCAGTAGTGAAGGAACATGTTAAAAATGCGGCGATTATACCCGTGGACATAAGCCGGGGTGGGTGTCCCATGATGTTCTTGCTTTCAATGTCACACTGTCACAAATATAAATTACAATAATTAGAAATGAAAATGAACAAAAAAAAAGTTAAAAAAAATAAATAAAGTAATATTTTTTACAAATAGGTATGAAAGCAACGAGTCCGTTGAATACAACGTCGCAGTTTTCTTCGTCCGGTGCTTTTATGCTCTCGTAAACTCTCCTGCCCTCTCGTCGTCCTCAAGAGCGGCCAGAATGATGCGATGATGATACAGGGTAAGGGGCGATGTCATCTTATACTGACCCCCTCTATTTTACATGCTAGTGATGATATGTTTGTATGTCCACGGATAAGCTCGCTCACAATGAAGATCAGGCCCCTGTTTTCTACTCTCTTTGCTTGTGTCAATCTTAAACTCTTCATCATCATGGACGTTGTAATTGCTGCGTAATCCAAATTTATTTATTCCCATTGATTATTGATTTTTTTTAATATCCATTATTAACTGATATTCTGTTATTTATGGTTAATTTTTCACTTATTTATTATACTATGTTAACAATTATATTTATGATTTATTGGTTTATTTTTAACCGACAGAAATTGATAAATATTTACTGTTTAATAATCTGGAGATAATTACTTCAATGATACTCATTTTTATTCACTTTTTTACACTTCTTCTGATTATTGTTAGTGATATATAGCTACTTTTTTCTAATAATTTTATCAATCTATTGTGAAAATTTTCGATTCTTCTAGACTAGGAATTTTCTAGAATTTTTTAATTGTTTTAATTTATTGTATTGACTCAGAAAGCTCTGAACTTTCCTGAAACATGAAATTTTTTTTTTTTTAATTTTCTACCCAAGAAAAAAGTCAACTTTTGACCATTTCATTAAAATTTTAATATTACAATAGTGTTTACGATAGATTAGCTCGGTTTTTCGGTAATTGTTTAACAACACGGTCCACAGTACTTCATAATAATAACATTAAAATTTTTTTTTTTGTATAATCATATATTTTTTTTTCTTAAATTTAATCAACAATAAAAAAATTTTTTTAAATTACATTTTTTTTTTTTTACTCATAGAATATGGAAAAAGCATAAAAATTTTTTTTTAACATTACAAATTATTAGTAATTGAAAAATTCATTTTCACAAATGTTCATAACTATTATTGTAGTTCCGCCGTAAAATAAAAAAATTTGAGAAAAAAAAATTTTATTGTTTTTACTTTTAGACCAAAAAATCAGAAGGCCGCAAAACTTAACAATTATTGATTTTTTCAATATTTTTTATAAATTTTTTACATAATACATTACAATAGAGAAGCTATTCTTATTTACATTTGTTAGTTTGAACATGTATTGTATGTTTTGTAAATAATGATTTACGTCGAATGCGGGCTATTTGACAAACGATAAAATATTCAAGTCCTGAATAATCCAAGTTTTAGTAATTTAGATGTTAAAGTTAAGATTAACTTTATTTTGATAACTTTTATTAGTATTTGTACTCTGGTCTCTTTGAAAGTAAACTTTTCCACTTAGTAACAACAATAGGAGTAGTACAGTACAAAAGTACAAATACATAAACCACGGTCCGTTCAATTTTATTATCTCAACATGAACACTCAATATGCCCTTTGGCCTTTTTCTATAATATATACTATAATACATACTATGACAAAAATAAAGATCATAGACCGAATATAATCAATAGTATCTGTTTTCTTACGAGATTGAGATAAAAAAGGTTAAGAGCTAAGAAAAACCCTACGCTACCAGGGTTTCAGTAGATACCTTCGACAAATAACCGATATAATATTTGTATGATAACAGAATCTTTTTTTTAAAAAACTGTTGTCTTATTTTCAATGAAAATGACTTCTGTTTGCTTCCTTAGTCTTCCAACATTCTCATGCTTTTTTATATTTATTCAACGACGTAGATTTTTTGTTGATGAATTTCATTAATATCATTTGTGTCTCAAAATAATTTAATTATTTTTAAAAAATCCAATGGAAACTTGAACTTTGTAAAAATATAAAAATGATCAATATTGAATTATTATAAAAATATGGGATTTATTTTCCTGTTCAACTTTCCAATATTTTTATAAAAACTGTATAAAAATTTTTATATCTATTGATTCATTCATCAAGAATTTATTTTCACAGCAAAAATTAATATTATCATTGAATTCAATCCCCAATATCAATGTCCTTATTTCGAGATTACATAATTCATAACTTATTTTTATAATAAATAGTAAATAAGATATTATTTACAATTGATACTAAATTCTCAGATAAACAATTAAATTAATTATTTTAATCTTTAATTTTTAATGAATATTTGATGGCTTATCAAATCCAATAAATATAGCAAAAATATTTAACCATTGTATGGTTGATGGTCAGATTGTATGTAGGTACACATGTCTTAAATGTATGCACACATGTACACATATGTACAGGGTGGGTTGATGAATTAATGCGTATGTACTCGTTGACTTGCCACTCTTTACGCTGACAGTTTAAACCAAGTTATTTAGACTCTATTATCTAACACGATTGTACATCACGGGGTCAACGGTCATCACGGTATTAATCTTTACTCCAAGCTCGTGCTTATACATATATTGCCTCTTAAACTGTTTTAATTCTTACAACTCTCATTATTGTATATTTTTTTTATAATTCTCCTGTGCATACTTTTTTATTATTAATATTTTTTGTTGAGCTTGGAGCTTACCTGAAAAATATGAATTAAATATTATATTTTATATTGTAATAATCTTAATTTTTGGAAATTTTTATCATTTCGAAACGAGATGAAATTTTTTGCTTGATAGTTCGAATATTTACCGTATTGTTTGATATTTAAATTTATTTATTACAAAAAACTTTTATGTAAAATTGTGTGTAATAAAACTAATAAATATTATATTTACATATACTTTGAATATTCGGCGTGGGTGGTATGAAATTTCGATTATTACATAAAAAAAGCTTTCATGTGAAATTTAATATAAATTTTTAATTTAATTTGATTGTGCTAAAAAATGATTTCTGTGATGAATTTGCATTTATCATATTAATTATTATGCTTTATTATAATTTATTTTAATAAAGTATTTTAAATGAAATTTTTAATATCCGGAAAAATTTTTTTAATCAAGATTATAAACTATTATCAGCTGACATCAACGATAAACTCAGTTCAATTTTTTTAATGACTTGAAACTTTGTTTTATTAAAAAATAATTTGTTTCTCTCCATTAATCTTAATCAGCTAAAGTACGTCGTTATAATAGGAATAGTGATGGTAGATTTTAATCTTTAATAATATAAATTGCTGAAGAAAATGAAAAGTAAGGATTTAGTTTACTGATGAGCATATTATCATATGGAAAATATTGTATATGAATAATGAAGGCATTTTAAACCGTATGAGGGATGGATAAAAATTTCCATTGAACTTGATCGTTCTTCCTGACCTGTTCTTAGCTTTTTCTATTCTATGAACTTACGCTTTTTTTTTTTTTTCGTTTTTATGTCTCTTATTCTTTTCGTGATAATTTTTTGCTGACAAACGTATGAATGAGGTGATTGATACAGCGTCGATATCCTGTATTGTCTCTTTATAGAAATTATATTATACGATAAAAATTTTTTCGAATGAACAAGATCTGAAAAAGAAAATAATAATAATAAATAAATAAAGAAAACTTTTAACTTTTTAAATAAATTAAAAAAAAATGCCATTCGGCCTCACCCAAAATGGAAGGTAGATTTCATGTGGTATGAGATTTTCTTTATTTATGTTATTTAATTTGTTCAATAACAAATGTCTATGTAATTTTTTAATTTTCAATCCGCTATAACTTTTAAACGAGTTAACCGATTATCACGTAGTTGACAACAGTCGATGCAGTTTTTTAAATTCTATGATAAATTTCAAACCGTGAATTGATCAGATAAAAAATTTCGGAATTTGTTTGAAAAAAACGCTTTTTTCGATTTTTTTCATCAACGATATCTCACAAACGAATCAAGCGATTTTGACCGGTTCAGCGGCGATCGACGTAGTTTTTTTATGTTAAATGCTGATTAGTTTTTGGAATCGGTCGGTAAAGCTGTTCAAAAGTCATTCTAAAAAACCACATTTGAAAAAAAGTTAATTATTTTTAAATTTTTGAATGGCCTATAAAATTAATAAAAATCTTCATAAAGTATAAGTGTTATAGGTAAAATTGAAGGAAATATGATCAGCTTCACCATGAAGTTACCAGAAATGAGCTCTTTTCTGTCAGTCAAAAGTTATTCACGGTTAAAGTTACAAAACTTAAAATTTACAAAATTTTGAAAATTTTAAATGGCCGCCATTTCTAAACTAATTGACCGATTTTGCTCATCTTCAAACTCGACCTTGGTAATTACCCAAAGAATATGTGTACCAACTTTCATCAAGATCGGTTGAAAACTTTTCGAGATATCCTGATGACAAGGCTGGTTATATTACATACATAAATTTTTTAACCAATGCTATTTTTGGAACCTACTTGACTAATTATAACATATGATAGCAAAATCAGGTGAAAATTTCACCTTGAGGACTAATGCAATAGTTAGATTTCTAAAGAAATCTACCTAAAAAAAATAGTGCTGACAGGATCAAGTACAAATAATTTAATGGATAAATGTGACAGAACAAATTTATGGAACCAACAAACTATCAAAAACTCCTCTAAAAACTTAACATAAAAAATTGACTATCACTGAAAAATATATAGAACCTTGAAAATGCACTAATTCTTATCAAGACCTTTTTGACGATACTAAATTTAACTCTAAAAATTCCTTTAAAAGTAATAATATGCTCGTCACAAAATTTTGCTTACTTTCTTAATTACTTAAATCATAAATGAATATCGCTGAAAAAATATCAAAATCTGTTTACGATAATTTAAATAACGAAAATTTACCTTAATTATATAAATTAATTTTTGATATATAACC